CCCAAGGAGGAGCTTGGCAGCTCCATTCCCAGCCCTCCCTCCAGCAGCCCTGAGTTCCAGCTGGGAGTGGGGGGCAGAAAAAAGGGTGGAGGAGGAATAAAACAGCTTTAAACTGGAAAATTGGACAGTATAAGCAAGGATAACCCAGCAGTCTACTTAATGAACTCAGGAAATCTGCATATAAACCCTTTTATTTATTATTTATGGGATATTTATTATGTTTCTATGTTAATTTATCCAGCAGGATTTTGCTGGGGCCACAGAGTTGAGTAAATAGGACGTGCAGCTGCTGTGCCCAACAAACAGCAACCCAAACCACAGCAGCTACCCCAGCCGTGCCTCAGGCACGTCACACACTTTGGAGAAGAAAAATGAGTTAGGAAAAAAACGATTAAAAAGGAAGGTTTGATTCCCAGCTCTGCAGAACGTGGGCCTTGGTTGCTCCTGGATAACAAGGGTGAGGTTTGTAACTGGGCTTTGGGGTCTCACCTGGCCACCAAACAAGCTGGGATGAAGGCAGGAAATCCGTGGGGAGATGGGCAGGGTCTGTGCCAGGCTGAACTGGATGCCCCATTTCTTTGCCATGGAGAACTCTTTATAAGGAACTCTTGCTTTCAGCAGGCAGAAATAGTGGTGCAGATGAGGGACATCATCTCACCTGCTGCCTAAATCAGCTCTGGGGAGAAATGAGACTAAGCTGCTCAACCCTAGCTTTGATCCAGTATCTGGATTTAGAGGCTCAATACATATTTTTATCTGTTGGAAGAACCAGTACTTGCTATTTCTGATGAAATAGACTTAAAAACATTCAGAGGAAGAGATGTTAGGTGGTATTTCCTCTTGTCCTGTCCCTTGGGAGCAGAGCCCGACCCCCCCCTGGCTCCAGGCTCCTGTCAGGAGCTGTGCAGAGCCAGAAGGTCTCCCCTGAGCCTCCTTTGCTCCAGGCTCAGCACCCCCAGCTCCCTCAGCTGCTCCTCCCCACACTTGGGCTCTAGACCCTTCCCCAGCAGCTCCGTTG